TCCGTAACTCGTACGTCTCTGGCAGATCTCCAAAACACAGCAGACACGCCGAGCCATTCGCATAGAACGAGCCCGTTGTATCCCGTGGTGTAAGAACGCCGGGAATGTGGATGATGGCAGAAGTCTGTAATTCACGAAGATGCTTCAAATTTGCGGAACAACGTTTGTTTTCCCTTCTGTCCGCCGTATATGGTTGCCGGTTCCCTTTTTACTGCGGCTCTCGATCGAATGACCAACATTTTCCAGTTTTCTTCTCCCCGGTGACTACTCAAGAGCAATCGGCGAATAATGGAACTTTGATGAAACTTCTTCGCGTAATTTGAAAGCGAGGAACGACGGACGCGAGACACGTTGAAAAACGTTAACGTTAACTTCGTTAACTTTTCTTCACCCTCGGCGAAACGATCTTCACAAAACTTCCATTCATTCTCGCGCAACTGCCCGCAAAGTAAAATATCGTACGTACGATAAATCATTCGAACGACGCCCGCTAGAAATAGTTCGTACGCGTATATCGCTTTTCCGCTTCTCGTTTCCGCGTATCGAGGGTATCGGCGAATAGATGGTATTGCCGTTCCACTGAATTACGTGTCGGCCACGCAGATGCGTTACGGTCCAACGACTCTCTCTCTCTCTCTCTCTCTCTCTCTCTCCAAAAGTCCACACGGCTTTTCCGCTCCCTTTTTCCAGACAGCGAGCGAACACCGAGTTGTGCGGGAATTTTTGGCCGGAAGTGTTACCGACCGTGCGCAGATTTGCATGATATGATAATTTTCCTCGATACAGGAGGGAACAGCACGGTTCGATGCCATGCCAGTCATCCTGAATCTGTTCAACGCTTGTGCATTGCCGTGCAGATGACCGTGAGTGTGCATGACCCGCACACCTATGCTACCGGACCAACGATATTAAAGAAGGCCATGATTCGATTTGCAAGATATTGATACTCGTGCTCGGTGGCGGATCTAACACTTGCGGCGCCTGGAAATGGTCACCGAGGCCATTTTTTTTTTCATTTTGGAACGTGAACTGAAGCAAATAACAATTAATTTTAGGGAATCTTTTCTGTAGAACAGTACTCGCACATTCGTGAGATTATCTGTATTTTAATTGTTATGATTTCGTAAGCTCCATTTTGACAATCCTATGTTCTTTTTTTTTTTTTTTGTTTTTTTCGAAGTTGCAGTAAGTTCGGGGGAAAAAGGAATACTTTTGTTCTCGAAAATTGAAAAAATTCGAACGCCTCTGAAAAATTTGTTTCACGACTAAATCTACCATGGTATTAAAGATTAAAGTCTCTTTCCTTATAAAATTGCTGCACCATTTTATTGAACTTTAAACATTCGTAGCATAGGCTGTCAGAATTTGTTGAATTTTTGTCATTTAATTCTAATGTTCAAGGTTTGATAAAATCGTGTAGCAAGTTTTAAGGGACTGATATAAAGGAAAGATTGCATCAAGAGAAAATTCTTTCCATGTTTTCGAAGGTGCTTAAATGTTTATAATTTTTGACAGAAAAAAAATATCCTTGCTGCGTGATGTGAAAACATCTTTGGAAAAAAAGAATTCAACGTTGGATTGATTGTTGTACGAAGCTTAAATAGTTTAAAGAATCGATAATTTTCCATCGAGCGTGTGAGTACTTTATCACACACATAGGAATATAACAGAAACTAATGTAAATGAGTATAACGATTTATTTATATCATTTTCAACGTTTACTTTTATCAGTTGACAGAATGATAAACAATTTCAATTGTTCTTCGAGCGTAGTTCGTTTGTATTTATTTTTTGTTACTGACACTCTGAAGAAAGTTTTGCTTGATTTACACATAATAATGGATAATAATTATCGTTAAAAACAAATCGACTCGACAAGCATCATTCTAACCAAAAATAAAATTTTTATCCCAGTTTTTCCGTATTAACAAACAGCGACTCGCGCGGAACTGCTGCATTTTCAAATTTTCTCGACACATAAATGTATTTATTAATACATGAATGTACATAAATGTATTTATTAATTTATTCATATTTAATAAAATGAAGTATTATATACAATCCTCTTATTTTGTACTATAAATAATAAAAATCCACTGTATTTAGAGTGTGAAAATCACAAATCAGGTATATCTTACATTTAACAATTATTTAATCATCTTTTCAACAAGCATTTCTGAGAAGTTCCATAGCGTTTTGGGACTTCCTTACAGCGTCATTAGCTCGTGCTACAATTGTATCCTCCTCACGATCTTTTCCCGTTCAAATCATTTTCAACGTGGTGTCACTTTTCAGATATTTAAGCGAGGCTGCACGTTCAGAAAGAAAAGAAATTCGACATGTTTAGCTACACCCTCTGAACAGCTGGGTAATAAATTTACATGTTTCCGGCTGTTTCAGCCAGCGAAACGAATTAGCTTCACGCACGTGCAAACAAGCCACGGTCGAAGTGTTTCCAGTGCGAGAGAAATGAGATATTTATTCAAAAAAAAAAAAAAAAAAAAAAAAAAAAAAAAAAAAAAAAA